ATAACTTACATCCAACTCATCAACATCAATCTTGATGAAGTCTACATCCGAATATGTTTCTACGATTTCATTGATCGCATTTATTTGGCTTGTGCAAAGGTTTGGTGGAGATGTTTTTATACTGTTAATATTGCAATTTTTAGTTTTGAATACCTTTTATTAGGTCGACTATTTCATGATCTCTCATATTGAGTCTTCGTTCTTGCCCAAATACTCTAATTGCAAGGGGTAAAATAGAAATATTTGAATTGAAACTTCCAAGTCGAATCCGAATTGAAACTTTTGTTGGGAGTCAAATTTGTAGCCTTCGATGATCTAGAGCTAAAAATAGAAGAGTAAGGTTATTCATCTTATTGTGCTTGTTTGGATCCGCAAAGGCAATTGCGCGGATTTTATTTTTTAATTAGTCCCGACATGATTTTTTTAGAATCGGTTTAAGTAATGAAAATGATCAATAGTCTATGTTACAATGGGATAATTGTCATATTATCTACGACCATTCTTGGTGTACAAAAAAAAAATTCTGTCAAATTTACAGACCACACACAACATAGGGGGGATCAGCATTTTTTGGAATATTTTATTGACAATGGGACCCAGTGACACATCTGGTGGAATTCTGTGAAATTTTTTCTGTACATATGTATTTTTCCTATCATCTAATACATTTATATTCATTGGACAATGTGAGAGTAACGCTCTATCTAATAGATATGAGATCATCTTCATTAGAAATGAATATCATTATTCAAAAGAGAATTTAGATTGAAAAGGTCCTAGGGATAAGGTTCAAGTTATATCGTGTACAATTTATTTATGGATCCATTTATGTTAGCAATATATTCTCGAATTCCCTTCTTACTAGTTGATGAGAGTAGAGATCTCGAGGGGGATTTGAAAGACATTTGTTTGAAAAAGATTCAGGGTGTGTCTGTCCAAGATTTTGGCCAAATTTTTCATAAGTTTTTGACCGTTGAGGTCAACACCTGGATCCCACATGCCTCACATTTGGTCCAAAAAGATGGCTAAATCCTGTACCAACGGTTTCAAAAGTGCTGAAAATCCTCCAAAAAATCTTGGACAGACACACCCTCAGTAAAGATTTACATTTTTTTTTTCTTTTTTGCAGTAACATCACATACTAAACGGATACGATATTAAAATTTACGAAAATGGTGCTATTTTATAAACTCTACTGCATATTAACCAAGTTAAACAGGATTTACACAGATAATGGATTAGGATGTGGCCCAAATCGTTCGCTTAGTAGGCTTGGACTAGTAACTGGTGCTTGTTTCATGATGTTCACACTAAAATCAGAATGGATTCAAAAGTACTCATACCTACAGCTGTAGTGGTCGGCCTGGTCCATAAAAGGCCCAAGCGTTCTTTCAAGGTCCTTAATTAAAAAAAGAAAAAATAAGACACTTTCAAATTGGAACTTGATGAAATCTTTCAAAAATCAAGCGATCACAATTTTGTAACTTATATTTTAATCAAACAGATCATGACCACAATAAATACTCAATTTATAATCACAGTCACATATTAATCACAAATCACAAAATTCACATTCTCAAAATAAAATTTGTGGATCACAATTACATATTTAGTCGTGAATCACATATTTTAATAAATTACAAATTATTTATTAGTTACAAATTATGAATCATTTTTCACTCCACCTCACTCTATCCTACCCTACACCACCCCTATCACACCCAAATCATTGCCGCCTCCATACATTTACAACCCACCATCACCTTCACCTTCACCTTCAATCCACCACCACCAGTACCTGCACCTCAAAACCACACCTCCACCTTCAACCCACCATCACCACTACCTCCCTTCCAGCAACCAGCGACCTGCAGATCTGTAGTCGTCTGTAGAAGTGGAGACACGGAGTTTCAATGTACAAAATTGACTTGGGACCAAAGCCTTTATGCCCTTTACAATTGTGAAGAATATTATAAATTGT